GTGTTGTTGAGCTGTTCCATCACTTCCTCCAACCCGGACGCATCTTGGGATGGGCTGGACAGATCATCATCCCCTGGGAAACAATACACGCTCAGTTCAGTCTACTGGTGGAACGGACGTCACCCAGCGTTCGACAACGGCCTCTCCAGGTGCTACTGGTGAAGCGGTTTTACCCATGGTGTCAGTAGTTTGGCTGGCGGCCACACGGAGAAGAGGTAAGGAGGAGTCGGAGCGCTGAGAGGAGGTGGAGGGGGAGGACAGTGCGGTGCCGTTCATCTTCGAATCCGTCTGACACACACAAACAAACGTCATGTTATTCAGGTTTAAAAAGTAGGTCAAGTAGATAAAGGTGGGTTTTTTTTCCTTGAACAAAGACAACCACAACTAGGGCTACGACCACCAAACACCAGGGAAAAAACTGACAAAAAACCTGCATGTTAGGTTGTTGGACTCCAAACTGCCCTTAGTGTGAGCGTGTGCGGCTGTGGGTCCTTGTGTGTCTCTGTGTAACGAACTTGGGCCCTACCTGCTCGAGCAGCTGCCTCAGCCGGTGCAGTTGGGACTCCAGCTGCTTGTTGTGGTCCTCCAGTATCTGCATGCGGGCCTCCAGACGGCCCTTGTGCTGCCGCAGGAGCTTGGCCTCGGCGATGAGCTCGGCGTCCCGCGCGCTCTGCGGGGACATGGGAAGCATCTCCGGGGGCGAGGGCAGCGGGGACAGACCCTTCCTGTCGTGGGCCTTCTTCAGACGGTCATACTCGGCCTGTAGTTTCCTGCAGAGGACATCGGAGAGAAACTAATATATAAGAACAAGAACATTTTTTCAATCTGCTGCATAAGGAACCATAAGTAACTTAATAGACCATGTAATATAGAATATATACCGTGGTGTTAACGTTTTTGCCCCCCTCCTGATTTCCTATTTGTTGCATGTTTGTCACATGTGAATGTTTCAGAACTTTCTGCAAATTAGAATATTAGACAACGATAACACTATAGCTAAAACTACCAACAATAGAGCTAAGACTACCCAAAACAGAGCTAAAATGACCAAAAACAGAGGTACAATGACCAAAACGAAATAGACCAAAAACAAAAATATAGCTAACTGCTGGTGGCCAAAGCACCTTAAAGATGGAAGTAAACAGCATTTATAGGATTTATCCAAAGCTAAAACTACCAAAAACAGCTAATAATAACAAAAATATAGCTAAAACTACCAACAGAGGTACAATTACCAAAAAGAAAGCTAAAAACGACCAAAAACAGCTAAGATTAACAAAAATATAGCTAAAACTACCAAAAACAGGTAAAATTACAAAAAACAAAGCTAAACCGATGGAAAGAAGCTAAGATAAACAAAAACATAGCTAAAACTACCAACAACAGAGGAAACATTACCAAAAACAAAGCTAAACACGACCAAAAGCAGCTACGATAAACAAAAATATAGCTAAAACTATCAACAGAAGTAAAATTACCCAAAACAAAGCTAAAAACTACCAAAAACAGCTAAAATAAACAAAAACATAGCTAAAACTACCAACTACAGGGGTAAAATTACCAAAAACAAAGCTAAACACGACCAAAAACAGCTAAGATAAACAAAATTATAGCTAAAACTATCAACAGAGGTAAAATTACCCAAAACAAAGCTAAAAACTACCAAAAACAGCTAAAATAAACAAAAATATAGCTAAAACTACCAACAATAGAGCTAAGACTACCCAAAACAGAGCTAAAATGACCAAAAACAGAGGTACAATGACCAAAACGAAATAGACCAAAAACAAAAATATAGCTAACTGCTGGTGGCCAAAGCACCTTAAAGATGGAAGTAAACAGCATTTCTGGGATTTATCCATGGCGGCTCACCAATCAGAGCTGCCTCACTGACCTGTTCTCTTGCTCGAGGTCACCGAGGACCCGTTCCAGCTCCCCCTTCTCCTCGGTTTCCATGGAAATGAGGATTTGGGCGGGGCTGCGGGGCTGACTGAGAGGAGAGCCTTGGTTCAGAGACTGGCAGTAGTGCTGGATCAACATGTGCTCGTCATCGCTGCAGATACGAAGACACACATAGAACATGATGGGAAAAACGATGGCCGCACGCACACATATCCACGTACAAGAGAGGGAAACCGAGAACGCAAAGCCAGAAACTAAACGACTGAGCAAACAGGACTGAAACCGACATGGTTTGTCTAAAGGACTATTTGGACAAA